AAGTTGTACTACAAACAGTGGCCCGTAATTCACATTAGCTTCAAGGTAAGCAAGCCTGGTGTAACCTACTATTACATAAATAGCTAACAAGACTTACTTTTACTAGGATCTTGGAAGTGAATCCTGGGAACTAATGCTGGGCAAAATAAAGGAAAGAATTTCAGATCTATACGGAAAACATCAATACCTTATTGACATTCTTCCAGAGTATAATAAAAAAGATTTTGTGGCAGTACTCGATAGAGAAACAACAGGGGTGGCACTTTGGTCAAATGCTCTTTCTTGTTTAGCACGTTATCTTAACGAGTGCTTTGGCAAGAGTTCCGTTATTCTAATCGACGAATACGACTGGCCTATGGAAAATTCAAGAGGATTTTATGATAAATCTGACGATTTTTTTAGAACAATGTACTCAAGTATAGCTAAGGTAAGCATATGTATTGTAATTAACTGATTGCATACATGCTTGTTAAAACTATAAAATTTCTATGCAGGAAAATAGGAACGTGGATAAGATCCTGTTTGTTGGGACTTTCCCACTAAGACAATCAAGCTTTCTTTCCGGATTAAACAATGTAGTGGCCTATCCAATGCATGAAAGACCAAACCATTCTGGCCGTGCTATTTTTTCTGATACATTTGGATTCACCGAAGAGGAAATTAAGCATTTGCTAGAAAAAAAACATCAAAATAAAAAACTTAAAGAGCTACGCCTTTACTATAATGGATACCGAACGAGCACTGGAGTTCACATTTATAACCCACATTCAGTAATATCGTGTCTAGAGAAAAATGAAATTGATAATTATTGGATCAATAGCGGTTCTGCAACCACATTTGTAGAAATCCTAAAAAAGTGCGAGTCAGGAGTCAAAGATCGGCTCCATAATATAATCTATTCCCATTTCTTCTGTCAGGATCAAGATGTGATTGAGTCTGTAGGCCAAGATGAGTCTGTAGTAAGTCTAGATGTGGTTTTAGTGCCATATCTCCGATACAATGACCTTACGAAGCCAGAGATAAACTCATTATGTACTTTATTATACTATAGTGGTTACTTGACTATGGTTCCAGGATCTTATATTATGTGAAATGTTAAACTAGTAATCCCAAATAGAGAGGTAGCATGCCAATGGATTTTGTGGATTTTTGAGGTTATCGGTATGGAATATACGAAGACAAATGAAATATACGAATCATTGTTTAAAAAAGATATTGTTACATTTTGTAACAAATTTCCATTGCTCTATATGGAGTTAATGTCTTGTTTTGATATTGCTGGTCTCAAAAAAGGTAAATTACATGAAACCTGGTACCATATATTTGTTCTCGGAACACTCGCTATGTATCATGGCGTTGAATACCGGGTTGAATCTAATCGCGAAGCTGGGGATGGCCGTCCAGATGTCCGAATCATTCCAATTAACCAAAATAAAACCGATAGCATAACGTATGAATTTAAGCGTACTGAAAATGAAGACTCCGATATAATGAAACATGCCACCAAAGTAGCACTAGATCAAATTTTTGACAAGTGTTACCGGATGAGTCTTCCAAATCATGTTAAGGAAATAGTTGAAGTTGGCATAGCCTTCTGTGATAAAGTAGCTTTTGTCTCAGCCCGTTGCCTAAAACGTAAGAAAGAAATAATTACAAAGAATGAAGATTGGGAAGTTGTTAGTGAATGGGAAACTGGAAAGGTGGAATAATGAAAAAGTAGGAACCATTATCACATTGCATTACTGCGTCTGTCAAATTAGTCGTTTACATACTAATTTTTATATAGTTTATTGCAAATTGTGCACTTCATTAATTAATTATATTACTCATTTTTTAGTTAGTAAAGTTGTAAATTAGCATTTATTGAAAATTGTAACAATCAAATAAAAATTAGCAGAGATAGAAGATAAAACAATACTTCTGACTCGCTACCTTTATATTTTTGCATTCACTCAGTCACATTTACAGTGAACATCTTTGATCACAATTTCCTCTTTTTTAATGCACGTAAAACTGAGTATATGCAGACAATTGCTTGTTTTCTCATCTAACTAATGTTACGGCACATTTATTTTTTTAATTTCCGAATCGATAGAGTATGTAACTAGGTTATCCATTAAAACACGTACGTTGTCGCATTATTACATCATAGGTGCAACCGTGAAGAATCTTCACGATAGAAAATCACGTGAGTATTCGGGTCAAAAATTCAGAATTAATAAAACGTTTCTTAAGCATCCACATCTCCATCTTTTTTTTTACAGCAAATAAGAGCTTTGACAACTTGAACAAGGTTTCCTTTCACTGTCTAGCGTACGTTCTATGAAGTACCATTTTCCGCATCTGTCACAATCCTATACTTTAACCATATCGGCTTGATCGTCACGTTTTTTCATAACCTAAAAGAATCATGTGCGCCTCCGTTCCAATTTGGACTTTTGCCAAGAAAAATTTTTTATTATTACATGCGAAAAATAAATACAAATGTTCGGGACTTTGCCCAGTATACATATTATTTTTTGATAATTTTTTTGATTCTAGCCCTCTTGCTAGCTGGGGAACTATCTACACTAACACGATCTTTTAACAGCCCAACAATAATACCTATTACCCTTTTCACGTTGCTTCAGAGTAACTCTGGATTTTCTTTGATGGCAGATTTTGTAAGATTAATCTGGTATTCGCTTCCACTCGTAGAGTATATAACATCAGTAGTATATATGATAAAATGCCACTCTGTGCCAGCGTGAAAAAAAAGTTTGCAAAAATTTCAGAATTTTACCGGCAAAGCATAACAATTCCGGAAATTTATTTTTTCAACCGGAATATATGACCAGAATTAAAAAATATCTTCGGTAAACTTAATTTATTTTTAAAATATACCGGAAATCTGGCCGGGATCATAAAATTTTACTGAATTTATCAAAAATTTACCGGAAAAACCAGCTAAATTACAATAGATTTTTCACGCTGCTAGTATATATATAATCAAAATAGTCGTTCCCAAACGCTTGATCTGCAGTCCGCTTCTTTTTATTGGTCTGGAATGCACTTTCAAGTTGCGCCAGATTCTAAAAAATAAAATGCGTTAATATTATTGAATCTCTTTCGGCTTGGTGCGGTCACATATGACACGCTCTAAAACACGAATCCGAGTAGTATTTACCTGTGCATATCTGATTTTAATATTACGAGGCTTTCTTTCGGTGATACATAGGAGGTCTTCTAGACTTTTGATTGCGTAGTCTACTCTGCCTGTTGCATCCTCACCGGATATATCTTTTTGTAAAACTATAAATATATCTTGGGAGGTAAGTTTTTTAGCTATAGCGATGGATGCATGAAGAATCGATGAAATAAATTCACAGCGCGTCGCCTCGTTGGTGTCAGTCATAGTTTCCACATTTGAAAGTTTTAAGATTATATCCTCCATACAGTGATTGAGGGCCTTATCTTCATCATTAATTTCCTCGAAGACTACAGAGAAAAATAAAGTTAATATGGCTATCTAGTCAGTTTGAAAATTAATTAATTACCTACTGGGAGTAAACTGCTTGATGTTTGTCATATCTTTCCCATTGACCTTATTTCTACGTAACATTTCTTTCAAGTCGTCAAGAGTCTTAAGCGAGGAATAATTTTGTAACTTCTGGCTGAGACCTTCAATAAATTTTGCTAGTGTTGTTGCGGGACAAGCTTTCAAGCCATAACTTCGAAAATCCTCTTTAGTTGTATCAAGAAAGGCAAGGCCAGAAATTTCTTCTTTGTGTAAAATTTCGAAGTGGGACTCCTCTAGCTTTAAGTTTTTCTTTTTCAAATCTCCTCTGTATTAAAATCTTTAATCACGTCAGATTTCTTCTGTTATTAAGGCGGGTGAAGCGGGTGAAGAAGCTTGTGAAGACATAGTTTTTATATGTATGTATTTGTGCTTGCGAAAAAAATATGCACTTGACTGCAGTTACAGGTAAAGCTAGTTTATGGATATAAAAGTATTTTTGGTTTCAGCGTTCAGAGAGAAATGATTTATTTTTTTTTGTATCGATTTATAATGCTTTTGCTCAATATATATGCAATTAAGATGTAGTACAGAATTATCAAGCACGTCTGAAATGTGTGTCAGGTTGACGGTGCATGCGTCACACTGATAAACATCTCTCCTTATCGCGCTAGTTTTTTTTGCTTTTTCTCCAATATTTTGCTTGAAATTAAATACTTTAATTATTATTGTAAAAGTGTGTTTATTTAAAAAAAATTCGATTAATTATTATATTATTATTAATAAAAAACTTAAAAAATGTATATATACAGTGGACATCAAAAAAAACACACCAAACTTTTTTAAAATTATTAATTGCTCTTATTAAATCAATTTAAATTCAATTAAAATAAAATTTAAAACTTAAATAATATATGGTTTGGCCTACTAAAAAACATAAAATTTAATATTAATTTACTAATTAGTTTTTTAATTACATAACATTAAATCAAAACAACTTGGTGCATTCTTTTTGCCACTTTTTAAAATTTTTAAAAAAATCAAAATTTTCACAAAATTATATTATGCTTTTATAATAAAAAAATGTAAAATTAATTATTAAATAGCTTAAATTATTAATTAAAATTAAAAAAAGTCAATACTTTTTAGTAATAAATTGATTAATTTATTTAATGTATATAATTAAAAATTACTATAAAACATATAGATTTTACAGTTTTTATTATAACAGTTTTTCTTAAACTACATTAAATCAAAAAATTTTATAGTAAAATAATACCCAAAATTAAATTCTCCTAATTAAGGGAAATTTGCGAAAAAAAAAATGGAGTGCAAGATAGTGAGATATTACTTGTTAAAGTATGGCAATGATCTTCATTTTACATATAGTGTAAATCCTATCTAAAGGTCCATTTTTTTTTTCGCAAATTCCCCTTAATTAGGAGAATTTAATTTTGGGTATTATTTTACTATAAAATTTTTTGATTTAATGTAGTTTAAGAAAAACTGTTATAATAAAAACTGTAAAATCTATATGTTTTATAGTAATTTTTAATTATATTCATTAAATAAATTAATCAATTTATTACTAAAAAGTATTGACTTTTTTTAATTTTAATTAATAATTTAAGCTATTTAATAATTAATTTTACATTTTTTTATTATAAAAGCATAATATAATTTTGTTAAAATTTTGATTTTTTTAAAAATTTTAAAAAGTGGCAAAAAGAATGCACCAAGTTGTTTTGATTTAATGTTATGTAATTAAAAAACTAATTAGTAAATTAATATTAAATTTTATGTTTTTTAGTAGGCCAAACCATATATTATTTAAGTTTTAAATTTTATTTTAATTGAATTTAAATTGATTTAATAAGAGCAATTAATAATTTTAAAAAAGTTTGGTGCGTTTTTTTTGATGTCCACTGTATTATTGTAAAATGTGTAAACTTAACATTGTATAAAATGCGTTTAAATAAAACATTTAAAAATTCATTAAAATTTTTGAATTAGAAAACCTAATTTATTATAAGGATTATTTCAAAACATAATGCCATTGTGTAAATAAACGCTATCAAATAAAAATAATATCTTAGCTATTAAAAATGGTTTAAATTAGTATGAATGCTTTGTAAAAATGTTAAAAATGTATGCTATCATAATAAATATTATGAACCAATACCTTGCTTCAATTTGGCTGATTTTTTAATACGTTTTTGCTCAAATTATGCTCCTTTTTACCGGCTTTCCTTGTTTTACGACTAGGAATATTTTGTAGATCCAAATTTTCCTTATCTTTAATAATATTAGGTAGCTTACACTTATACCCCGACCCTTCTGTTTTGCGTCATTTGACAGATTCAACTTGTACACAGATCATAGAACCACTTCTTAAATTAACCATTGGATCTAAGTCGCGGTTTAGATCGTAAAGAAAGGAAGTTAATCGAGGGATGGACTTCAGCTTAGCTGCTTTATAGCGCTCCGCAAATTTATCTAATGCAGTACGCAATTACGCACCACCATCCTGGTAGTCTCTTCTAACTTCTTCCAAAAAATCAGTGAATGCAGAAATATCAACAATTTCGACATTTTCGTTTGATTCCTTATAAGACAGAATGCCATATTCAATAGTTGTATTGTTATTTGACGTTCCTACTTTTGTTTGTAAATCTTGTGGAGTGGTTACTGCGTGCAATGATGCATAAAAAGAATTATCTTTTGCAACATAACCTAAAGAAAAAAAATCAAATAATTAATAAAATATTTAAAATAATGTCATCTTTTTTTTTCTTTTACTTATTTTAATTAAAAAAAAGTTTCTTAACAAATAAAATATTCATTGTTATTAATGCAGGTTATTACTTACCAAGTGCAATATAAGCGTAAATCATACGATCATTGGAAGCCAAAGACGGAAGAAAATTGAATGTTGATATATGGAATTTGACTGAAACTGCACCCTAGTGCTTATAAGGCGCACCGGCCATACCAATCGGACAAGTACAGGTTCCAATTTCACTGTTAACAACATAAATGTTAGAACTTTGCGCACTTGGCACAAAAAATTCAGTTTTCACACTATTCTTTTGAATTGCATTCATGTTTATGGTGTCCCACCCGGGATATAAAAAATGTTTTGCAAGCCGAAGATGCCCCAGATGTCTATGCGCAAAGCTGAGCAATCGAAGCATGTAAAATCTCTCCATGTTTGTTGTAATAAACTGAAAAACTTGAACGCAGTTATATGCTTGCGTCCTTGCAAACACTAAATCTTTTAGTATGCCAAAACTTCTTTCAACGGAATTATTTGTGTTATTTTCCCGCATATAAAGTTCAGAGCGGAAAGAGAGGGTCTAAAAACAACGGCGTTCCCACAAAATCTCAAAATGCTTGCGTAGTTGAGGATACCTGCCATAAAACATTTGTTTGAATTCACAGTAATGCGTATGCATTTCCGAGCCCGACGTTGTATAAAGGATTTCTTTCATCTTCTTCATGATAGATCCCCAATCTTCTTTATTAATATGATACTTCAAGTCATAAAGCCATCTCCAGAATACCTGGAGAATGTGAAAGGTACACAGAAGACGGATCCCTGGCATTTTTAGTTGAATAATTTAATAATTTAATAAAATCAGTAAATCATTACGAATTTAAATAAGAAATTAAATTCAAAGTGAATCCTTACCTTCTGGCCAACATAATTTAAGAGCATTGCGTTCAGCACTCGAATCATCAGTAAGAAAAACTTTTGGACCGACTTGTGGCCCACGTCCAAAAAAGTCATGTTGTGAAAGAATTGTTTTAAGTAAATTTAATGCCTTTTCTAGCGTTATTTCAGACTCATCTGAAGTGATAAACAAGCCAAGCGGAAGGGCACCAACCATGCAGCTTGTATAAAGAAGAGTGATAGATGTATTCAAAAGTTCAAATGATGCCGAAGCATCCATATAACATAATTCACCAGATTGTAAAACTCTTTCATGTACTTGATTCATTAAATTAGTCACGACGCATAGAATAAACGCCTTTCCCATGCGTGAATCATATTCTTGCAATATCGCTTTTCCATGGCCTGAGTTATTATAATCATTTACGACTTCTTCTAGACGTTTAAACATTGAAGTACCGTTGCGATCTCCAAGTGCCATTTCACAATATTTATGAAAAAGCTTAGCAATGTAGTCGTAATTTGGATTAGTCATCCAGTCTGCAAGTAATACTAAAAGTTCCTGCTCATCCATTGCGCTAAGATAAAGTGTATCTTCATAATCATACATTGCCGATGCGGGAGAATGACCATCCTTGAAAAGTTCTAAAAATTTTCCACAAATTTCCCTATTGACACGTCAAAAGCTTAACGATTCTGCAGAATTAACAACATGATTATGAGTGAATCGTAAGTTAACTTCCAAAGGATGGCTTAATTCAATATTACAAAACTTTAGCCGAAGGTGAATAGTAGCAGCGCAATTTGTATTTTGTAACTGGGATGATTGTAAGCGTTTTAATTCACGATTCCCTTGTTTCTCCTTCACTAATTTACTGTGAATACAATGTCTTTTCTCGCGAAAAAGAACCTTCTTTCCTTTAATTTCATAATGCCTAAATTCTGGCATTGTCGTTTTTGACTTAGATTCAAATGACAAAAACCATTTGCGTGCTTTTTCTTTATCGTCAATATCTACGAATGCGTCCAGTTCAAATTGTGGAATCTCAAAATTCTTAGTAGTTTGAAATGGTGATAAAACATTAAAATTTTTGATTAAATATGAGTGACGCAGAGGGAGGATTGATTTTAATTGTTCGGGAAGGGAATCCCATGAAAAGAACTAAATAAATACGAAAATTTAAAATTAAATTATGAAAATGACAAACGATAATGATAAATAAAGAAAAATTTGGTTCTATTTAATAAAATAATGCTGAAATAAAATTTATTTTACATATAATCAATAAAATAGACAAAAAATACCAATTAATTTAGAATAATAATAACGAGAAAAATGATACAATGCTACATAATAAATTATTATTATACATAATAAATTAAATAACGAACTAATTATAAAATTAGAATTAACATTCTATATTAATATATTATTCTCATAAAATAAAGTTAAACTAAATAAATTCTAATAAAACTCAATATCAAATAAACTCTATAATTAAAAATGCAACGATATACCTATTTAATCAAAAACTCGTTTTTTTTTCTCATTTTTAACTTATATTTCATATGTATATTATATAGAATGTACTCAAAACAAAAAAAGCTCGATAATATGAAAGAAAAATATGCAAAATTGACTTACTTGTGAGCTATTTTGTGATTCGATGTCCATACTGTTTATCAGTTATGTATTTACTGTGGTTTAACGAATCACAACTTGAGCTGTGTAACTTAATTTCTTTGTAATAAATTTTGCCATTAGGCAACTTACCAAAACAAAAGTGTTGAAAGGTAGACCTATTGGCTATTACACTTCCGAAGTAAAAAATAAAAAAATTTTTTTTTTTGTTCGAAAGAGAGTGTGGGAGAAAAAGCAAAAAAAATTAGCGTGATAAGGAGAGATGTTTATCAGTGCGACGTGAATTTTCTGATTGTATGTATCACGTGATCAGTGGCTGTGATGCCGCGCATGCGCTATCAACCTGACACACATTTCAGACGTGCAATTATCAAACAGCACGTCCGTATTGTGTGCCAGCATATCTTTTTTGTGTGCCAGGTTGGTGGCGTAGCTGCGCCGCAAGCCACCACGTCACAGCCATTTCACGTGATAAGTTATTAACAATAGAATTTAAAGATTATTCAAATTAGCCGACTGGAAATAGATTTAACTATAAATCGTTTAGAAGTGTCAAATTAAATAAAGTTTAACTATTTTTAATAAATGATAAAATTTTAAAAGTATTTTTAACAATAAAAAAGTGTATAATTGTTATTGTTAATTGTTTATTATTGTAATAATTGTGTATATGTACGTTATAAAGTTGATAAAGTGTGAAAGTTTTAATGTTGACCCTATGAAAAAAAATCATCCAATTTTTGTACGATATTTGTTCAAGTCCGTGTGGAAATTGTACAATTATTGCAGATTTTTGGATAAAAATAGCTATGAAGTTTTTCAAAGCATATTAAAAGTATGCAATTTTTGTACAACTTAAATTTAGGATATAGAAAATGTTCAATTTTTGTGTGATCTTTATACAACTTAAATTTAGGATACAGAAAACATTCAATTTTTGTACAATAAAAATTGTGATTATTGTACAACTTGAAAATAGACTTAAATTTAGGATACAGAAAGCAATTTTTGGGTAATCCTACTATACTACTTTCCATCTTACCTGTATGGTTACATTTGACCACTTTTAGGGTCGAATAGACCACTTTTAACCATTACAAATAGATTTTCCTAAGTAAAGTGATTTATGCAGTAAGGTTACATAAAATTCAACTGCATAATTGCTTATAAATGGGCATCTTCTGGACCCATTGGTGAAATTTTTGTATCATCTTGTAACTAAAAAAAAGTCAAAAACTTTTTATTAGGTTACACAATTAGTTCTGACCGGAATTATAATTTGGCCAGAATTATGCGGTAAAAATCAACTCTTAAAATTATATATGTTGATCACGTGATCTGATCGTCAAAATAAATATGACGACGCGAAATGTTTTTGTTTATGTTTTTTTAACCTTTTAACTTTTCTTCAACTTTCTTTTAAAATATCAGGTAAGAAAAACTTGTGTTCTTTATCTTTTTATTTTCCTAACTTTTTACATTTTAATGTTACTAACTTGCTTTCTTCACTAACTTCATACTTTTTTTTTATTACTAATACTAATAATTTACTTTTTAACACTACTAATTTGCTTTCTTCACTAACTTCATACTTTTTTATTACTAACACTAATAATTTACTTTTTAACACTACTAATTTGCTTTCTTCACTAACTTCATACTTTTTTATTTAATACTAATAATTTACTTACACTAATAATTTACTTTCTTCTTTGATACTACTAATTTACTTTCATGTTACTAACATACTTTATTTTATTTTATTTTCTTACAAATTTTTATATTTATGATTATATCAAATTTAGTATTTTATTTATGAAATATTGTGTATATTTTTTATATTTTAAGTCAATAAAAATTCATAATTTCACTTTATAAATTGCCTGTTATTACTGTAAAATTTAACCTATAATTCCTAAAATATGGCCTAAAATTTGGCTCAGAAATCACACAATAATTGTATAAATTCAGGTCAATAATAGGATAATTATTGAATGAATTACCATGCAATAATTGTGTGATTTATTGCAATTTTTAGCACAATTATTGTATGGTCAAATATACAGAAATCGTAGTGAATTTAATTGAATGATTTTTCAACAAAAATCACACAGACTTTTTTTATAGGGTGAACACTCCAAATACTTTTAAAACATCATTCTCTTGAATAAAATGGAAGTCAATTTAACTGGTTTCTAAGAATGTTCTTGCTTAAATTATGCTCTTTTTTACCTTTCCGTTTTTTCCTACTTGGAATAGTTTAAGGATCTGAATTCTCTTTCTCACCCTCTACAATAGCTGATGATTTTTGCCTAGTGCCATTTGATCTTTCACTTTTGCGCCGTTTGACAGACTCTACCTGAACGCAAATCATTGAACCACTTTTAACTCGTGTTGGATCTACATTACGATTAATATCATATAGAAAAGAACATAGCCAAGGAATAGATTGTGATTTTGATGCATGGTATCGCTTGGCAAATTTATCAAATGCAGTACGAAACTGTGGGCCATAATTCTCATAATCCACTTTAATTTCTTCCAAAAAAGTAACCAAAGCAGATTTATCAATTTCATCCTCATTATTTTCATTTAGTTCTCTAATAAATATTTCAGTAATCAGTCAAGGAGTTAGTTTAATCTTGCAGTTAAGAAACGGCATTTACCTCCATTCAGTAGTTGAAGAAATCATCAATCCTTCATCTATTTCATTATGCTTTTCAACTTGCAATTCTGTATGTAGAACCTGAACTTTTGAAGAAGGTTCTGTGTGAATCTGAACTTGCGAAGGAGATCCTGCTTGCAACGAAGCATAAAAAGAACTATTCTCTGCAATAAAACCTAAAAAATAAAAAAATTATCAATAGTAATATTGCAATCAATATTGCAATGAAAACTATTTACCAACTGCAATATAACTGTAGACCATACGATCATTAGGAGTTAATGATGGTAAAAAATTAAAATTCGTGATGTAAAATTTTACAGAAACAGCTCCTTGATGCTTGCAAGGTGCGCCTGTTATTTTAACAGGACAGCTACAAGTTCCAATGATACTGTTGACAACATAAAAAACACCCAATTCTCTTGTACTTGGAACTAAATACTCATTCTTAATGGTAGTTTGCTGAATTAAACTCTCATCCACCATCTCCCAACCTGGACAAAAAAATCTTTTTGCAATTGTATGTCCAGGATGTTTGTGCGTAATCCCAAGCAGTCTAAATTTATAGAAACGATCCATATTTTCTGTCACAAAATGAAAGACTTGAACTGAATTAAACGTCTGGGTCCTTGCAAAGATAATATCCTTTAATATGCGGAAGCTGTGTTCAATAAAGCTCCAAATGGTTCAGGCTAAACCGGAGAACTGATCTGAAACTGGCTCAAAATTCGGTTCGGTTCAGTTCGGGTATTAGAACCGAAAAACTAGCAGTTCAGTTCAGTTTAATCTGATTTTTTATAAAAATGCAAAAAATCAAATAGCCGACTATCTAGTAATTGTACAAAGTCGAGCCATATATCATTGGATTCCTCTCGACGAGACGCGTCGAATGGTAGTAAGATAATGTCTCTAGCATCGATAGATCACATGTTAACCTGCGCTAAATGATTTATCAATAATTGGAATTAGCAAGCTATCTATTGGTGCTAGAGATATGATCTTAGCACCATTCGACGCGTCTTAGTGAGATGAATCCAATGAATATAAATTCATTCGTGTACGATCACTGGATGGCGAATAATATCAAGTTTCGCATTTTTTTAAAATTTTTGAACGTTAAAAATTAAAAATTCTGATACATGAATTTATTCATCGTCCAATGGTCGTACAAATATTAATTAGGACTCATTGGATTTGTCTCGATGAGACGAGTCGAATGGTGGTAAGATCACGTCTCTAGCATTGATAGATAGCTTGCTAATGCCAATTTTTTATAAATTATTTAGCGTGAATTAACTTACGATCTATTAATGCTATAGACATGATCTCACCACCATTCGACTCGTCTCATCGAGAAGAATCCAATGAGTCCTAATTCATTTTTGTACGACTATTGGATGACAAATAAATTCATGTATTGGAATTTTTAATTTTTAACGCTCGAAATTTTTTAAAAAAATGCGAAACTTGATATTATTCGCCTTCTAGTGGTCTTACATGAACGAATTTATATTCATTAGATTCGTCTCATTGAGACGCGTCGAATGATGCTAAGATCATGTCTTTAGTACCAATAGATAGCTTGCTAATTCCAATTATTGATAAATCATTTAGCGTGGGTTAACATGTGATCTATCGATGCTAGAGACATTATCTTACCACCATTCGACGCGTCTCATTGAGACGAATCCAATAATATATGGCTCAACTTTATACGATCACTAGATGGCCGGCTATTCAATTTTTCACATTTTTATAAAAATCAGATTAAACCGAACTGAACCGCCAGTTTTTCGGTTCAGTTCTTACAGATTTCAGCTCTAATTCGAACCATCTATAATCCGGACCAAACTGACCCGTTCAGAGCTTTAGTGTTCAATATAGTTATTTGTATTATTACCGCGTATTGGCAATACTGAACGAAAGGATAAGGCCCAAAATTGACGTCGTTTTCATAAAAGATCAAGATGATTTTGTAGCTGAGGGTATGAGTGATAAAATTCTTGTTTAAATTCTTGATAATACTTATTCATATCCAACTCTGTTGACGCATAAACAATTTTTTTCATTATCTTAATAATAGGCGTCCGATCCTCTTTATTTATATGATGTTTTAAATCATATAACCATCTCCAAAACGCTTGTAGTATGTGAAATGTGCACAAAAGACGGATTGCCTGCGGCCAACAGAGATTTAGAGCATTCTGTTCTGCATTTGAGTCATCTGTAAGGAATACTGTAAGTCCAACTTCAGGTTCACGTCCATAAAAAGAATATGAAGGAAGAATTGTCTTTAATAAATTCAACTAAATGTATTAAAGATAAATTTCATTTTATTAGAACATTACAATTACAAATAGACTCATAAAAATAACTTATAAGTTAGGAGAATAATTACCGTCTTTTCTAAGGTTACTTATGATTCATCTGATGTGATTAATATTCCAAGCGGAAGTGCACCAGCTGCACAACTTGTATACAAAAGCGTAATTGAGGTATTTAAGGGTTCAAATGAGGCAGAAGCATTTATATAGCAAAGTTTACCAGCTTGTAGGATTTTTTCATGAACACGATACATTAAACCAGTTACAACACAGTGAATAAACGCCTTTCCAGCTTGCTTATCATACTCCTGCATAATTGCTCTGCCATTACCTGAGTTGTTGTACTTCCCAATCACTTCTGCTAAACGTTCAAACATCTTACTACCATTGCGACTACCAAGCATATTATCACGGTATTCTTGAAAAAGCCTAACAATATAACCATAGTCTGGGTTAATTGCTCGATCTGCAAGCATTTCTAATAATTTTTAACCATTTTCTGCTGATATATGTAGTTTATCTTCATAAGAGTATATTGCCAAGACTGGAGAATGTCCATTCCTAAATAACTCTAGGAATTGTTCCTTTACTTCTCCTTTAAAACGATGAAAGCTTAATGACTCTGCTAAGTTTATCATATGATTGTGTATAAATTTAATGTCAACTTCTAATGGATGGTTAGATGATTCGATATGCCAATTCTCTAAACAAAAATCAATACTGAATGTTTCATGCATGGGATGATTGTGTATGCTTGGTTTCATGATTACCTTGCTTTTTTTAACTTTATTGCTATGAATGCAATATCGTTTCTTCTGAACAAGAACCTTTTTTCCCTTTATGCTGTACCTCTTAGTTTGTACCATTGTTATTTTTAAATGTGATTCAAATGCTTGAAACTATTCGTGTACTCTTTCTTTATCATTGACATCTACAAATGTCTTCAGTTCAAATTGTGAGATTGAAAAATTTTCAGATGTTTGATAGAAAGGTAATTCATCAAAACTTTCGATTAAATATGTGTATCCTGGAGGAAGAACTAATTTTAAAGGATCATTTAAAGAATTCCAATGAAAAATCTAAAATAAAAGGATAACAATAACATAAATTTTTATTATATTTCGTTAATGATAAATAAATAAATTTTAATATAACAAATTTAATAAATAAATATGATACAAAAGATCGATGATATTTATTTAGTTTAACTAATATTTTCTACCTCTCCTACACTTTCCATACTGTTTAATAATACACGACTTGAGATAACAATTATTTTTATTAAAACAAAAAAATCTATATTAATTTTATTCTCTTTTATTGTTTTTTTTTGAAAGTTAAACAAAAAAAATATGGAAAATTATTTTTTTCACTTTCGTTTTTGAAGCAAAGTAGGAAAAAAAGATGGAAAATAATATTGGCGAGATATATTTATCATCAAATTTGATTGTGCAATATAAACGCGATTATTAATAATAACTTATCACGTAAAATGGCTGTGATGTGGTGGCTTGCGACACAGCTATGCCACCAATCTGACACATAAAAAAGATATGCTGTGTGCCAGGTTGGTGACGTGGCTGTAGCACCATAGCCACAATCATGTGATTTATTAATCATTTCCGCACTGATAAACAAATTTGATAAATTTTCAAAAATTGTTTTTTTTTAAATAATAAAATATAATAATTAATAACACTATTCATTGTAAATTTATTTATTAAAAATATTTTAATTAAAAGATGTATAAATCATTATAATTGATAAAAAACAAATACTATAACATATAAAAATGTAATTATTATTAATATTTAAAAAAAATGCATTATAAAGTGATGAATTCTATTGTAATAATACCTTGTTTCAATTCAGCTGATTTTTTAATACATTCTTGCTCAAATTATGTTCCTTTTTGCCAATTTTCTTTGTTTTTCAACTAGGAATAATCTGAGAATCAGAATTTTCTAGATTTTCCTTATTATTGGTAATGGGAAATAGTTTTCGCTTACATTCTGACCCTTCTGTTTTTCATCATTTTACAGATTCAACTTGCACGCGAATCATAGATCCACTTTTGATATTAACTGCTGAGTTCAACTTGCGATTAATATTATAAAGAAAGGACACTAACTGCAGAATAGATTTTAATTTTGCTGCTTTATAATGTTTTGCAAATTTGTTTAATGCAGTACGTAATTGTGCGTATCTGTTTGAATAGTCTTCCTTGATTTCTTCTAAAAAATTGATAAATGTGATAATATCATCCTCAACATTTTTATTCGATTTCCTACAAAATGGTGTGTTTGAATAAGTTTGTAAATTATAACAAATTATTAAGGAAGAGTTTACAAATCTATGCTTGATAGTTAAATTATTATTTGGTGTTGTTGTTTCCATTTGTATACCTTCTCGGTCTAGTAGAATAAATTCTGCATGTAATGATGTATAAAAAGAACTGTCTTCTGCAGTATAGCCTAAAAAAAAAAATTAAAAATTAATAAATGGAATTATGGAACCACAAAATCTTACTTTTTAATTATTTTCTTACTGATTGCAATGTAAGTATAGGACCCCGCTTACTTCTAATAGAGATCACCCACAAGCCTAAGGTAAAAATTACATAAAAAAGTCAAAAAAACTGGTTGAATTCATAAGGTAAAATTCTTTATAAATTAAAAAAAGTAAATGTAATTCCATGGTAAATTTTTTTTATGTAACTATTAAGTATATGGTAAAATTAAACAGGATTTTAAAATGTAACTTGTAATTATAAGGTTATAAAATTTATTACTACAGTTTAACCTCAATATACCGATATTCGATATACCGATATACTATTAAAAACTTGATATACCGATAAAATTTTATTTTCCCACTATATATGAGGACATATAAATATCGGTATAACTTTGATATAATGATATTTTCTAAAAATTTCATATATGTCCTGACATATCATTATATAAAAGTTTAACTGTAGTATATACTATTTTTAGCACAAAGTTTATTACACAGACACGTAAAATTTAGCACGTCTGAAATGTGTGTCAGGTTGACGGTGTAGTGTGGCGGCACAGGTAATTCAAAAAAAATCTAAGTTGAAGATTTTCTTTTTAATGTAATGCTTTCAAATTTATACATTAGATGTATTTTCATCTGTTTTACAAATTCACTTATAAACAGAAGGAGGTTTTGGTCGTAGATTGTGACTTTAGTATATAACAACTGATTTTATCGTCTTTGCCAATTATTTCCAAAATTGGATTTGTCAAAAAAATGGTTTTTGTTAAATAACTCGAAAATGGCCTTCTAAACTGCCTGTATATACTCTAAGTAAATTTGCAGAGCGGACGAAAATACATCTAGTGCAGTAATTTAAAGGTTTTATTTTAAATAAAAAAAATTGCAATTTAATTTTTTTGGAAAAATCGCTGCGTCACACTGCGCTGTCAACCTGACACACATATCAGATGTGCTAAAATTTATTATATTATTTTTAGTTATAAAATTTATTATACTATTTTTAGTACAAGTTTATTACATGGATATGTAAAATTTCATTACACAAACATGTAAAATTTATTATATTATTTTTAGCATAAGTTCTTTTTTTTTTTTTTTTTTTTTT